GAGTACTAGGATTACAGGCGTGTGCCACCATGCCCGGCATGAAGATTTTTTATGGATCATAAAGGGTTTTGGTATTATTTTGATCCCCGCAGCATTTTGCAAGGTAGTTAGGAGAGAAATGATATCCTTGTTTTTCACACAAGTAGGCTGAGGCCGTTGAAATAGGAAGCAGCAGGTCCAGAACTTGAACCTTTGGGTTTGAAGCCCTGAGATATTTTTATTGTAGCACAAGGCATTCGTGGATGAAAAGTGCCCAGGAACAGAACTGTCATGGGAGCTCTGAGGTAGCCCCCCAGGGAGGACGCAGAGCTTGGAGGTGAACCCAAATCCATGATCCCTAAGCGTCTCTTTCCAACCTCAACACTGAAAGAAGATGGGATCTGGTGGTAGGGGGAAAAAGGGAGCTGATGGAAGGACACAGGCTAGGGAGAGATCCGCAAAGACTATGGTCGACTGTGGGCCTGACACGAAGTGGAGGTCTGTCCCACTCGTTCCAGGATCCTGGGCCTTTGCAACAACTTCTCTTATGTGGTGATGCTCAGTGCTGCCCATGACATCCTTAGACATGAGAGGGCATCTGGGAATCAGAGCCATGTAAGTGAGCCCCTCTGCACCACTACCAGGTGGGTTCCTGTGGGAACAGTCTCTCCCTGGGCGGGGGGCTCCTTGAAAAACTCATGGAGTGAGTGGCCAATCAGTGGGGCAGGGGCTACAGTTCTCAGTCTCCCAGACCCTCAGGGCAGGATGGTCTTTTAAGAGATCTTTGGGCACCGGGTTGACAAGCTCAAAGGGGCTGCGGGGCTGGGGGTGTAGCTCGGTGGTAGAGCACTTGCCTAGCGTGTGTGAAGCCCTGGGTTCCATGCCAAGTCCCACACAAAAAGAGTGCAGAGGATTGACGGACGGACGGATTGACGGATGCGTGGCAGGGCTGACCCTAAGCCATCCTTCAAGTTAAAACAGCTGTGACTGGGGCCGTGTCCGCCTTCCCGCCTCCCTAGATGAAAGACATTCTTTTCTCCCATCAGGTGGACCCAGAGCCGACGGCCCTCCCTCACAATGGCTCATCTCGATTTGACTGCAACTCTGTCTCCACGGCTGTGAGTCCCCGACTGGCCCCCGTGACCAAGACACTTCCGTCCCCAGCCCCTCAGCACGCAGCTTGGACGGTCACGGCTGTAATTATAGACACTGGCAAGGACTGGGTCCTTTTTTCGAGGGGCATCAGTTAACTCACGTCACCGGTGCTACTCCTATGAGCCAAGCACTCTTAAGAGCCCCATTTTCCGGACAAGGAAACTGAAGTTCAGAGGGTGTAACTGCTTTGACACATGGGAAAGGCTGCCAGAGCCTGTATTTGTTGCAGCCTGAGTGACTAACTCCTGCCTTCCCTCTGCCACTTGGGAGATTTGCCCCTGGGGTGGTCTGGGGTCTTATTTTTCTCTCCTGTCCCAGGCGGTGCTCCTGGCCGACATCCTCCCCACCCTCGTCATCAAATTGCTGGCTCCTCTGGGCCTTCATCTGCTGCCCTACAGGTCTGGGTCCAGAGGAGGGGCAGGTGGGAGGGGAAGGGAGGGGGCCAGAGGCTGGGGCGCCGAGAGCCGAGGCCAACCTGCCCATCTTTCTGTCACCCTCAGCCCTCGGGTTCTCATCAGTGGGGTGTGTTCTGCTGGAAGCTTCGTCCTGGTTGCCTTTTCGCACTCCGTGGGGACCAGCCTGTGCGGTGGGTGTAAAGTCCTATGTCAGGCTCATGGGCCCAGAGGAACCTCGGTAGTGTCTGGGTGGGGGTAGTCTCCCCAGCTTCCGGAAGGAAAGGGATTATTTCTGTGGCCCTCAGAAGTCTGTTAAGGCCGGGTGTGGTGGTGCACGCCTGTAATCCCAGCACTCAGGAGGCTGAGGCAGGAGGATCCTTGAGAGTTTGAGACCAGCCTCGACTACAAAGTGAGCTCAAGGCCAGCCTGAACTGCAGAGGAGACCCTGTCTCAAAAAGATAAAAAAAAAGTCTGTTAAGGCTGCCGCATCTAGGAAGTGGGAGACGGGGCAGCTTGGAAGGGCTGGGGTGGAGAGAATGGGTGGGATGCAGAGTGGAGGTGAAGGGGTGTCGGGTGAGCCTTGCTCCTGGGTGGATGACGGGCGGGTGAAGGTGTCGCGCTGTGCGAGAGGTCAGAAGAGGAGTTGGCTCCACTTGTGACCCGAACCCAGCCTTCCCAGGGAATCCGCTTTCAGCCCCTCTGAGCCAGTGCAGATAAGGCCGTGGTCAAAGCGCTTAGGGGACTGAGACTGTTGGGGAAAGGCCGCCTCCATGCTTGTCCTCTTCCCAGGTGTGGTCCTGGCCAGCATCTCATCAGGTCTGGGGGAGGTCACCTTCCTGGCGCTCACTGCCTTCTACCCCAGGTGAGCAGGGGGGCGGAGGATGCGAGGTCCTGCTGCTGCTGGCCCTGCTGCTCCTGACCGCCACTGCTGTCTGCTCCCCAGGGCTGTGATCTCCTGGTGGTCCTCGGGCACCGGGGGAGCAGGGCTGCTGGGAGCACTGTCCTACCTGGGCCTCACCCAGGCTGGCCTCTCCCCTCAGCACACCCTGCTGTCCATGCTGGGGATCCCTGGCCTGCTGCTGGCCAGGTAAGTGGCCCTGGTGTGGTGGGAGGGGTCTGGGGGGAGGGAGCAGTCCATCATGACCCCAGTCTGCAGATCCCTACCGCCTGGTGGGGGATGTGCACTCTGGACTCTGACAGCCCTGGGTTCCGATCCCAGAGCTGCTGCTTGCTAGCTGTAGGGGCCTTGGACCGCTCTGACCCCAGTTTCCCCGTATGTCGCATGGCAGTGGCTCGCCTTGCTTTCCTATGAGGTGACAAGCGTGAAGAATGCAACAGAGTGTGTTCCTGAGATGATTTAAGGTCAGGCAGGATGGACGTCAGTGTATTGATTCTGCGTGTGTTTTCATGCGCATTAGGAAATGATTTTAACTAGCCAGTGGAACCTGTGACTTCACGGGTTGTGGTGTAGGTCTAAGACAGTGCCAGTTAGAAAAAGGGAGTCAGTGTGAAGAAAATATTAGGTACAATGTATCTAGGAAGAGTGTGGATGAAGCCAGAGTAGATGGACTAGAATTTCGCACATGCTGGGCTAGTGCTGGTTACATGTGTAGTGAGTGGTCATGAGAGCGGTCATTAGAATAATGACAAGAAGCCAGGCGTGGTGGCGCGTACCTGTAATCCCAGCACTGGGGAAGCTGAGGCAGGAGGATCATTGTGAGTTCAAGACCAGCCTGAGCTACAAAATGAGCTCAAGGCCAGCCTGAACTGCATAGCGAGACCCTGCTTCAAAAAAAAAAAAAAAAAGAATAATGACAAGGAAATGGCCCACTGGCTAAGAAGAACAAGGAGACAAACTTCCAAGCAGGAAATGTATGTCCACAGTTGGGCCTGTCTAGGACAGGCTCGGCTGCCTAGACCCACGAGTTGCCAGGCTCCGGAAGCGTGCAGATGCGAGGGGTGGCTGGGGAGGGCCTGGCCCCACAGGCTTGCTGACTGTTTTCATTCTGCTCGCTCCAGCTATTTCTTGTTGCTCACATCTCCCAAGCCTCAGGACCCTGGTGGGGAAGACGAGGCAGAGGCCACAGCCCGGCAGCCCCTCATAGGCACAGAGGCCCCAAAGCCAGGTAGGAGACACAGGCCCGCTGAGAGTCCTTCCTCTGGGTTTTAGTCTGTCCTCTCTGCCGTGGACAGTGAAGCGGGGATGGGGTGGGGTCTTGGTTAAAGTCAAAGCGTTCTTCTAGCCAAGAGGTGCTCAGGGAGGCTTGGCTGTGTCAGACATTCCCGTTGATGGGGTTCCCAAGCCCCAGTGAGTCAGAAGCAAATCATTCCACACATGGATAAGCTCTGGAAGGATATAAAAGAGTGATATGACAGAAGATGACAGTTGAGGGGGTGGGGAGGGGTTAGGAGTTTTACTGCAGAGAAGTACCTGCAGAGAAGACCTTTGGAGGACAGGATATTTGGGCCAAAACTTGACCACCAAGCAGTAAGCCTTGGGGACTTCTGAGTGAAGAGGTTCTAGACAGAAATAGCACGTGCTAAGGCCCTGTGGTAGAAATGAGCTTGGATACTATAGAAACAGAAGAGCCAGCACAGCTGGGGTGGAGGGGGCAGATGGCCATCTGTTGAGCCATGTATAAGAGGTATGGAGAGGTCTCTCCTGGTTAACTATACTTTTATTTATTTATGCATGCGTGCCAGGGGGAGGGATGTCCCCAGAGCCCCATGCATGCTAGGCAAACCACTCTAGCACTGAGCTACATCCTCGGCTCTTTTTCTAAGAAATCATGATAACAAGCGTACATACCATGAAGTTCACTATTTTAACCCCTTCTAAGCGTGTGGACCGGTGGTGTTTGAGTGTGTTCACGGCGCTGCGTCACGGAGGTGCTTTGTGGCCATGGGCAGCTAGGACTGGTCTTTGGCATGCCTGTTTCACCCGCACCCTCTTCCCACTCCCTGCAGGCGCCAGCTGGAACCTCTCCCTGCAGGAAAGATGGACAGTGTTCAAGGTGTGGACGGCGGCTGCAGTGTGTACCTGTGGTTGGCGGCTGCCTCCGGCCTCCCGCTTATATCTTCTGACCCTTCCAGGGCCTGCTGTGCTACATCATCCCCTTGGTGCTGGTCTACTTTGCTGAGTACTTCATCAACCAGGGACTTGTGAGTGTGGGGTGCTGGGAGGGGCGCGGAAGTTTTGAGCCAGCTGGGACCTGCGCGTCCACATGTGTCTCCTGCCTGTTCTGTTGCAGTTTGAGCTCCTATTTTTCCGGAACACGTCCCTGAGTCACGCACAGCAGTACCGATGGTGAGAGGGGTGAGGGCTGGGGGCAGATGGGAGGTGATACGACCGCCCTGCCCAACGGACACCCGGAGGCGCTTCCTCCTGCTTCCTGCTCCCCCCGCAGGTACCAGATGCTGTACCAGGCTGGTGTCTTTGCCTCTCGCTCTTCTCTCCGCTGCTGCCGCATCCGCTTCACCTGGGCCCTGGCCCTGTTACAGGTATTTTGCCCTGCCCGTCCTCCACACCACTGTGGTTCTCAGCTTTCCCAGATCCCACTGCTTCCTTCCTGCCACAGGAAGTGCTTGTCTTACACACACTTCTAAGCATATGGAGTGAAGAGGGACCGAAAACCAGCACGGAAGCCAGGCATGGTGGTGCACGCCTGTAATCCCAGCGCTCAGGAGGCTGAGGCAGGAGGATCGTTGTGATTCGAGACCAGCCTGGGCTACAAAGTGAGCTCAAAGCCACCCTGAACTGCATAGTGAGACCCTATCTCAACAACACCAAAAAAAAAAAACCCAGCCCGGTTCCACATGTAATGTGCAGCTTCAGGAGCTGTGTAACCCCACTGGCAAATCTGTTTTGTTCGCTCCAATAGCTGTATGACTGGGGCAGGCCTCTGAACCTCTCTGAGCCTCAATTACCCCATTTATAAAGCAGACATGGGCGTGGCGGAGCTCTTACCTAGCAGGCACAAGGAGTGGGCTTAATCCTGCACTGCAAAAACTAAACCAAAACGAAAGTCAGGGACTAGAAATGTAGCTCACTGGTAGAGTACCTGCTTAGCATGTGCAAGGCCCTGGGTATGATCTCCAGCACTACAAAATTGGATGAATGATTGATTGATAGATATATACATACATACATGAAAACAAAGAACCAGGCAAGGTGTGGTGTCGCACGCCTGTAATCCCAGCACTCGGGAGGCTGAGGCAGGAAGATTGCTGTGAGTTCGAGGCCAGCCTGGGCTATGAAGTGAGCTCAAGGCCAGCCTACACTGCGTAGTAAAACCCTGTCTCAAAAAGACAAGAAAAACCTCAAAAAACCCAAATAAATAAATAACCAGATGTGGGCAAGATCATTCTTTTTTTTTTTTTGATACCAGAAATCAAACTCAGGACCTTGCGCTTGCCAGGCAGGTGCCTGTAACACTGATCTATATCCCTGGCCCATGAGTAAGATCTATTTCTCAGGACAGTTGTAAGAAATAGAGATGCAAAAAAGAATGGAAAACAGGATTTTGTGTTATAGTTTAGTTGGACCACTTAATCCTTTGCACATGCCTCATGTGAAGACAGGCTGTAAAATATTTCTACCTCTAAGAATACTTCCTCCTGAATGGTTAACTGGAACAAAGTCCTTGCCATTGCGGACAAGGGGTTCTTTTTCTCAGTAAATAACTGCTGGTAAGCAGATTTGCGAGCTTCCCTTCGCCGACGGCAGTCTGCAGCACACAAATACCGTTCTCCATGACAGTCTAACAAAGGAGTTCCACATGACCAGTGCCGCAGTCAGAGTTTCAGGGTTACAGATCTACCATCTCTGAAGGTAACTGTTGCAATAAACCTTCCACTACAGGCTACGTATCCTAGTCTGGAAATCTCCCAGCCGTTTTGAAATGGGGCTCTTGCTGAGTTGCCTGTGCCCGGCTCCCTCTGTTGATCCTCCTACCTCAGGGCCTCAGAGCAGCGAGATTACAGCTGTGCATTACCAACCTACCTGGGAACTCAATTCCCCAACTGTATAACGAGATAAGAGGAAGTAAGAAACAACGTGTGTGCACGCACACGCTCGCCTACACATGTGCAATGGAGACCAAACCCAGGGAGTGCTGAGCTATCTCCCAGCCCTTTTTATTCTTTTATTTCATCTTTTTATTTTGAGACAGGGTCTCACTGTGTAGTTCAGGCTGGCTTTGAGTTTATTATGTAGCCCAGGCTGGCCTTGAACTCCTGTGATCCTCCTGCCTCAGCCTCCCATGTGCTGGGATTACAGGCGTGCACCACCACGCCCGGCCTTTTATTTCATTTTGAGAACAAAAGGTCTCACTAAGTAGTTCAGTCTGGCCTTAACTCCTGATCCTCCCACTTCAGTCCTCTGAGTAGCTGAGATTACAGACATGTTCCACTGTGCCCAGATAAATTACACTTCTTTTTTTTTCCTTTTTTTTTCTTTGAGACAGGGTCTCGCTATGCAGTTCAGGCTGGCCTTGAGCTCACTTTGTAGCCCAGGCTGGCCTCGAACTCTCAGTGATCCTCCTGCCTCAGCCTCCCGAGTGCTGGGATGACAGGCGTGCAGTACCCCGCCCGGCTCAGCCTTGCTATTCGTGACATGCGGGGCTGTCCTGAGCGTGGCGGTGCTCAGCAGCAGCCCTGGCCTCTACCCCCACGGGCAGTAATGAGGCCTCCAGACGCTGGCTGCCAAATGTCCCTTGCGCTACACGCCCCTTTCCAGGAAAACTGGGGGAGAAGAACTCAATTCCAGGAGCCCTTGAAGGAAGGAAAGGAGGTCCCAGAGTGGGAGTGCCCCCGTGGAGGGTGAGGGGCTGGGTGAGGGAAGGGGGCCCCGCATTCCAGGTGTAGGAGCAACAGCAAGGAGGGGGCTGTGCGGCGCAGGCCGGCCTGGCTGCTGTGGGGGTTCTGTCTGGGCCTGGCTGTGTCCTCCTCCAGTGTCCCCCAGATCAGGGGTTGCTGGATGAGACGCCCAGCCTCCCTCGCCCCGGCCTCAGCCCTGCCCTTCCCCTGCCCGCAGTGTCTCAACCTGGCCTTCCTGCTGGCGGACGTGTTGCTGGGCTTCCTGCCGAGCATCTACCTCGTCTTCCTGGTCGTCGTGTATGAGGGGCTCCTGGGGGGCGCGGCCTACGTGAACACCTTCCACAACATTGCAGTAGAGGTCAGCACCGCCCGGAAAGGGCTATGGGTAGCCTGGGGAGGCGGGGCTCGGGGGAGTCCAGGGCTGTGAAGCCGCACCTCTGCTCTCTGCCCCCTAGACCAGCGACGAGCACCGGGAGTTCGCTATGGCGGCCACCTGTATCTCTGACACCCTAGGGATCTCCCTGTCGGGGGTCGTGGCCTTACCTCTGCATGACTTCCTGTGCCGCCTCCCCTGACGCTGACGCAGCTGTTGGGGTGCAGGACGCTGACCTTCGTACAAGAGCGGGTCAGACAGCAGGCCCGCCCCCGCCCGTCCATGAGCTCTGCTCCGGGCCTTCCCTGCCAGGCCAGGCGGGCTGGGAAGTGCAGGGGTCTCGGCCCCCTGAGTGTGGGGCAGCCTCGCTCTCTCACTTCCCAGCTGGTCTTGGAGCGTTTCCTCTTGGCGTTTTGCTCTCTCAATAAAATTTTTTTTTTTTTATCAGTTGACTCCTTGTACAGTTTTTCTCTAAAAAAAAAAAAAAATTCTGTTATAAAAATTATACAAGCCCACTTTAGGATATATATATGTATAGACGGACATACACACATGTATACACGTAATTCCACTGCTCTGGGAAGCTGAGGCAGAGAGATGGGAAGGTCAGTCCCAGCTGGGGCAACTTAGTAACTTAGCAACACCAGGTCTCAAAATAAAATATAAACGACAGGATATAGCTTGGTGCGTAGGTCCTGGATTCAGTCCCTGGTTCCAAAGATAAAAGTCAGATTTTGTTCAGTTTTTGTGGGTTTGTTGTTTTGTTTGTTTTGTTTTGTTTTCCATTTTGAGACAGGGACTTGCTATGTAGTTCAGGCTGGTCTTTAACTATGTAGCCGAAGTTGGCCTTGTGATCCTCCTGCCTCAGCCTCCCGAGTGCTACGATTATACATGTGCACCCCCACCCCCAGCGATCATATTTTGCTGCCTTTGAGGCTGTGTTTATATATTCATTCAAGAGGCATTTTTTTCCCACAGAGAAGGTGACACAAACATACCATGAATACTTCTGGGGATGCACCCCGGCTTCTGCTATGAATATTTTGCTATAGTTTTATCTTGTCTCCAGCCCTCCATCCAAGCCTCTCCATTCATCAACTCAGCTTAGTTTTTGATTTTTTTTT